AATTCGAACATTTCTGTATATTCTGACGCTGCGTAACTAGATGGTCATTGACATTGAAGAATGTCAACATCAAGTCTTTAATAAAAAGAAACTGAGTGATACAATTTTGCAGTTACGTTAGAGCTCTGATAGAATAAATCAATCTGGACTTACTGAGAGGTAAACAAAGAGCTCAACTCAGTTACAAGGCCTGCAAGACAAATGATGCAATTCTATTACTTACAACAGAAATTACGATCAATCGATATATATATATGTGTAAATGATCAAAAATGAGTAGAATAAAGACAGAAGGCATATCAGTATGGAACACTTTTGTAATGCAGATAGCATCTTTTTTTAGACCCATGAAAGTTTACTTGAAATCTTGAGGAAGTCTAGAAAATTTAAGGAAATTTTATGAGATTCAAGGGAACCTTGTAATTTAGGGCTTCAAGATTCAGTTCGTTTCTCCTTATTGGCATCTTATCGAACTCTGGAAGTAGAATTCGACCGTATCCAAAACATAGGATCCGAGCAGTTTTTGGCAGCAGAATCCCGTGAAGTTTTCAACGCTAGGGATCTGAATGTTATTGCGTCACTTAGTTCCAGACAATATTGCTATAGGATTCAACGGGATACTATAAAATTCTGATGTTACTGGATAAGATCTGATAGAAACTCGATCTGATATAACTGCTTGAGTGATTCTCTTGAGCTGTTATCCAAGACACTTTTAACTGCATGAATAATATAAGAGATAATCCAAAAATCTATCTTTTTTTAATCAATATTATGACAGAATTGACTCAAAAAACACCATGTATATGTACCTGAAATATGTGCCTTTATTTTTACCATTTTTTGTTCGATAAACAGAGAACACAGTCTTATCTATAATAACTGTCAGTCCTAGTAAAAATTTATTCTTTCACTAATCATTGTTCATCAAGGTTATAGTCAAATGCTTTTTATGCTATGTATTTACTTATATCCAATCGCTAAGACATATTTTTCATCGGTCAAGTAGGACACTTCATGAGTGCATCTTTTTGTATTTTCCATCGCTTTATTGGAATAGAAGTTTATTCTTTCATCGTTCAACATAGAAATCCTATTCGAATCCACCTATTATATTGATGACAGTAGTAATGAAAGACAATTGTAAATTAATCCACCTAATATTTAAGTTTATTTTGTGTAATAGTAACACTTTTTTGTAAAGAAAAAAAAAAACTCTAATCGCAATTATTTAGAAAAGTTCAGTTGCCTATTGGCAGAAATCATTATGATTTTAGAAAAATATTGGAATTAATCTTCTTCAAAGAGGATTTTAATCATGTCAGGATCAAGCAACTGATTCTCGGTCAAACGTTTACTCTAAACAAAAAGAGTAAAGACGTATTCACATAGTTATTTATGTCCTACCGTTCCCCATTCAACTAATGTTGGAATATTTGTCAATCGAAGTTGCGGATCTTTTCGGAATGAACAATTTGAATCTTTCCAACTAAACGGAAAAGAGACTTCAGAAACATTTTATTTTTTACTTCACTGTTTTTTTACCTTGCTCGATCGCCTACGGAACATCCGATAAAAACTCCATTGGACGGTAACAAATGTTCAACCGTTTGTTCTACAGGTTTTTCTACTTCAACACAATATGGACACCTATATGAAACAAAGCACAATCAAATTCAACGAATATTATGTTTCTTCATATACCAACTATATCCTTGATTATCCTTTGAACCATAAAAGAATACAAAAATACGTTTATCTCTGCCTAATTTCTTTAATATAGTTTTTAATTCATCATAACCATTTACATACAATTTGTTACCAGATAATGCCATCTAAAAACGTAATGAAGAAAGTATTAACTTTTGAAAAATGTTTTGATTAAATAGAAATTGTCGTTTATGTGTAAACATAAAATGGATTGAGCTATACACATGCATCTATCTGTTGATACTTACTGAACCTACACATTAACAGTAAGAAGATACTTCTCGTACAGATCGTCATATATACTGTTATTTTTTGAAATGTTTTGAAAATTTTAACATACGTCTAGTATTCGATCAAGATTTCTAAATGGGCTATTTTCAGTATTATACAATGCACGACTCTTTTTTGTGAATAATAATGGGAGTAAATCATCCGATTATACATATTTACTATTGAATCTGTTATATTGTTCACTAGATAAGAAAGAAGAATAATCGTGAATGGTTGTTTTTCTTGATTGTATCTAACAGAAATTGACCGAACTGTATTAGAATTCAACAAGAGATAAATTCATACGATCACGTGCTTTACTATAAGTCGAGTGGAGTGAAACAAAAATGAGAGAAAAATTGTAATCATAATGATCGTTTTGATAAGTAATAGAAATATGGATGTACATATTACAGTCTAATAAAAAATAGTCAAGTCAATTCATGCTTTGACCAATAACGAAATATAACGGAAATAAGTTCTTCAAGTTCATGTTCAGCTCGAGTACTGATTAAATCATAATATTTGACTATCTGTTTTCGTAAATCACGTTCTGTAAATTCATTTTTGAGACATTTTTGAACATGAGACAGATAAAATTCACTGTCTAAAATAAAATAATTATTACTTTAAATGCATCATCTGTATAATTGCTGACGAGTTTTGAAAAAATACTAGTGTCACTTTTTCAGTTTATTTTGTGTGCTTACAAAGCGATGCTTTAAGTAACAAGAAACTCTGGAAAAATGACTTTAAAGTTAGCAATAGATTTGGTCCAATCATAGCGACGATATTGAATTGTTTTCTTGAACTATTTTTCGGGTCATTCGATACTTACATTATTTTGTTGCTTAGTTTTTTCTCATATATGTAAAAAGATCTCTGGATCTCATTTATACGAGAGCCAACTATTTCTAACTTTGCACAAATCTGTCTTTTGATACTACGTCAACTTTATTGTCAAGTACAAACATGACATAAGGTGAACTATTATGAGTAAATTGATTATATTAAGAAGATGAACAATTAAAATGATAAAAGCATGCTTTCGTCTTATTTCTGTCAAAATATCTTAATAAACTTGGTCGTTAACTTGACAATGAGATATATATATATATAAAACAATGCTGACATTGACTTCTTCGTTCTTTTTTGTAAATTTATTCAAAAATAATATTGATAAATCTCAAATGATATAAAACCTTTTGAATAGATTTTAAAAATCAATAATTCTATTTAAAATAATTTCTCACAGTTTTATTTTATCAGCACATTGAAATGATGCCACCCAACCAAAATAATGAGCTGTCTCATTTATAGGTATTGCTGTATCTTTTGTAATTACTTAAATCAATTTGAAATTGGATTTCTACCGATGGAACAGTAATAATTTAAGGATAAGAGAAATCACCTTTGTCGTCATTTATTGCTAATATAACATTAAATTTTGATATTTATGACAAGACATTTTCTAATCGACCTGCTACCCGTGAATGTTATCAAACAAGATATTTTTTATTTTCCGATAATTGGTCACCACAATGGACAGTATATAATGAGCTTTTAGAAAAAAAATTGATGGACGACAGGTGAGAGGCTAATTTAATGATACAGGCTTTCTTTCAACAATGAGATTTTTTTTGCCATCAATTGATGATGACTGAGAAGAACAGTAAACTGATCGAAAATGACGAGTGACTTCTGGTAGAAAATGAAAAACATATTCCTACTTTACGATGCAAAGAGTTCACTATATAACTACACTTTGTTTTAATTCTTGTAATCAGTGATTGTTACTATACTTTTTCTTTCATTATTATTTAATTCTCATTTTCAACACTTCTCGGCTTGTTTTACAAACTGTCATTCATCATGTCAAAGTATCTGTCAACAGTGAATCTTTACGGAGATCCCCTCTTATTCGAAGTTTTCTGAAGAACGGCTCATCGGAAATATTTGAAATTTTCAGAGTAGATAGATCTCGATGAGTAGAGCGAAAGTTGCCATATACTTCAAATATTCAAACACTTCTTTCTAGAAAATAACTGGATTGCAAAGGCTGAAAATTACCCACTTTCTTGATCGTAATATGTCTAATAGAGCTGGGATTTTTTTTACTGACAATATACACTGTTTACGGGAAGTATTTTCTTGTTGGTTTCTTTTTATCTCCTCGCATTGCGATAAAAAGATCAAGATACTGAGGGTGTCTACATCAACACATGTTGTTTCCACTAGAACTTTTCTTTTTGTAAAATCTGCCAAAAATCAACAGTGCAACATTTTTCAAAACAAAAATATGATAGGCACCTCAAACAGTATCCAGTCTCCGTACCAAAAGTTTTAGCTCAACATCTGCATAATGAGAAATAATCATTATCATTAGGACAAATTTGCATACAAATAATAATTGCAGTACGAGCTTTTTTGCTGCGAACTTCGAAATTTGGATTTAATAAAAGTATTAACTTATAAAGAAGAGCTCTCGTTTATATGGTATTTGATAGAGAAAACCTCGAAACTATATTAGCAATGAAAACCCGAAAATCGAAAAAAATTCTGATTTTTACATCCGATAAGCGAGGAGCTCTAAACCTAGAACTTCTTCATTGAGTCTTTAGTTCTGCTCCTTGTACGAAAACTTCCATGCATAACGCTCTGAAAAAGTTCCCTGTTATAAAATTCATGACATACAATTTGAATAATAATAGATACAATCAATTTTTTTGCATGACGGTATGCACAATGATTACACCCGACAATGACTATCTCTTGCCTTTTATCAGATAATCATATTTTATCAAGATAATTTTTTTTAATAAAATCCAAAAATATCAAAATTTTTTTTGTCGAATTATTCAACTAAAAACGTAATAAACTAATAGTTTCTAAATTCCGTACAGACGAATATAAATGAGTCATATCTAATTTTTGATTGGTTAATTTTTGCCAATTGAGAATATCATGTCTTATGTGCAATTTCATTTTTATATTCATTTCATATTTTATCACTTAACAAAATGAATGACGATCTACGAGCTCGTCCAAAACCTAAATTTGGCATTAGTGATGATGCTGAAGATGAAATGTTAAATTATCAAGAATTATTCCAACGTTCAAATATTCAACCATCTGCACAAGTCATACGAGAACCAAATATAAAACGTCAACAATCAAATGAAGATGAAGAGAAAAAAAAGAAATTTTCAAATATTGATCTTACTCAAACAACAGCTATGCGACCTATTATTATCGTAAGAAAAACAATTCGTTTTGAAAAATCATGAAAATAAAAAAGAAATTATATCAATGAAGTTTTTAGGAACGGGATGTTAGTACAACTCCTATACAACTACCAATACTTGTTAATGATCCATTTCCACAAGCAAAATATCGTGGTGATGAAGGTGATCTTGATGTAAAAAAAACTTTCGCTTATTATTAATTTCCATTCATTGAAATCTTTTTAATTTTCATTAGAAAATTGTTTTACCAAATGTTAAAAAAGCTTCCTTATTTGCTAAACAAATGTGTCGTGATGGAAAATTGAAAACATGTAAAGAATTAGAAGAAACAAAAATATCATCAACCAACCAACAAATATCACGTTCAAGTTTATTAACTGGTAGTGGTCTTGGTGAAGTGACTGGTGAACGAGAAATTCAACGTATTCATAAAGAAAATATTGATCGATTAAATTCAATGGATGAAAAAGAAATTTTAGCTGAAAAAGAAAAATTATTAAATTCACTTGGTAAAAAGAAAACGAGATTTTTTTAAATTAAAACAAAGAATTTTCGAAATTCTTATCTTGTATATAGATCCAAAATTAATTGCATTTATGCGAAAGCGAAATAGAAAAGAAGGAGAAGATATTATTCGAATAAATGAAAAATCACCTGTGGAAAAAATGGATTTAGATGATCAAACAACATCAACAAATCTTCCAGTTGATGTTGATTCTCGATGGGTTCATATGGATAATATTGAATATGAAAAATTAGAATGGATGAAAGATTTACCAAAACCATCAGTTCCACGAACAGTTGACGATTCCGTAAGAAAAATTTATTTCTGTAGCCTCCCTCTCGTCTTAATAGAAGACTTCAGATTTTTCATTGATTTTCATAATTTTCCATTCAAGGAATTTTTCAAAAAATCAAAACGATTTTGAGAATTTCACAAATATTTTTAGAGTTTGAAAAGTCCAGAAATAATGCTGAACTTTATCTTTTAAAGTTTTCAGCTCAAAACTCTCGAAGCAAGGTATATTTTGATGTAAATAATGTAGCTAAAATTCCAATTTTCTAAGAAATTAATTAGGAGGATAGTCTTTTATCATGCTCTGTGTAGTTTTCCTCCAAGAGGATCTTCTACGGCGGATAGGAGTTTAGTTATCAAATGAAGAAAACTAAGATAATGTCGCTTTTTAAACTTTGTTTGAGATTAAAATATTATATTTCTTCAATACGCGAAAAAAAAAGAAATAGTAAACACGTCATGTACTTAGGTCACACCAAAAGTAGTTACGGAGCTATATCAATTTCTTATAGAATGCTTGAAAAAATTTTCTTTTTTTATGTAGTGATAGAGAAAACGAGACTCTATTTTTCTGTGGTATTTGATCACTGTTAAGCTAATGTCATAATTATAAAATTTCGACTAAGAGCTGTTTGCTATGACATGTCACGATTAGATCAATGCTAATATTCTTCGAATAACTTTTGATTAAAACAAAATAGTGAACTGCAGTTTTCGTCCTTGCAAAGAAGAGATGAAGAAGCATCGAATCTATGTTACTGATTTTCCTGACCTGTTTTTTTTTGTAAGGCCTTCAATTGACCTTTTGAAGAACATCCATCTCGTGAGTTGTTTATAGTGGATTTTCAATAATCAGATTCACATACAAACCGCTAATCGAAGGTCTACAAACTGCGAAAGACTCGTATGTTCATATTTAATTATTTAGGAATAATATGTATTGTAGTCGAACCTGTAATAGGATTTTCTAGCATTTTTTTTTGTTTTTTTTTCATAAAAAAGCATTTTTCAGACGGTAACAAAATTGAACAAAAAGAAATTCAGAAATCATATTAGAAAAACCTGTAATAACGTATGATCGAAAAGTTTTTGGACAAAATATTTGTTCACTTTTGACCAACTAGAAAGTATTACGGACGAGTCAAAAGCTATATGTTAGAACCAGAATTTTGTGCTCTCTTCAAATATGGGCTCAGAAA